CCGCGGGCGCCGAACTCGCGGCCGTCGGCCGCGGGGGCGGCGGCGGCGGCGGTGGCGGCGGCGGCGGCGGCGCGAGGTACGGGCCGTCGCCGCTGTCCTGGAGCGAGCGGCGCGGTGGCGCGCGGCCGTATTTTGAGGCGTACCACTCCGACTTGGGGCCTGAACCACCACGGTTGCCCCGGCGCTGCCCGCTCTTGCGCCACGTCTGGCCGCGCCAGAATTGCGGGCCACCGTGCATGGGCGCGGGCGGCCCCCTGCTGGCGCGACCCCAGATGCCGACGTAGCGCTGCAGCAGCTCCAGTGGCTCCTGGACGCGCTTGGAGTTCCAGGCGATCGGCGCGCTCTCGTTCAGCAGCGAGCGCAAGAACTTGTACGCCTGCACCACGCCCTCTGGCGCCGCAGACGCTTTCGGCACTTCGGGTACCTTGGCGACGAAGGCGCCCACGTTGGGCGCGCCTGCTGGCGGTTGCGCCTGGCGCCACGGCGGCTGAGGCTTCTCCGACGGCGGCTGCTGCTGCTGCTGCACCTCCTGCTGCTGCTGCTGCTGCTGCTCCGCCCGCCACGTGCCGCTAGCGTCTCGGGTGCGACGTGGCGGCGACTTCGGCGCCGCGCCCTGATTGTGGACGGGGATGAGCGTCGGTCCTTGCTTCGCCACTGGCGAGGGGTCGCTGCTGCTGCTGCCAGGGCACTCCGCCGTCTCCCAGCCTGGCGGCGCGGGATCGGCGATGATGTGATCCATGCCTGCCTCCTGCGCAAGGCAAGGTAAACAGAGCACCGTCGCTTCTGGGCCCTGCCCCGCCGCCGCCTGCATCCAGGCCAACGCGGGCGAACGGGGGCGGGGCCGCATGGGCGTCGGGCGCGCTCGATCCGTTTCCCTCGAGCCTGGGCGAACATCTCGAAGAGGTTCAAGGCTTCGGCGACCTGCGAGAAAAGCGAGTGGCTCGCATCTGAAGCCGCCATGTGCACCTCAACAGGAATCCAGGAAATCAGCCTGCACTGCCCAAGCGGACGCTTCGGGCTGAGCGGGCGTTGTCTGAATTCCCAGCGCTCCCGCGGAGTTGTCCATGGCGCTGCTGGCCGCGCCCTCGCTCGCCATGCGCCCGCGAAGCGCCCGCGGCCGCCGGCGGCAGCGGCGCGGGGAGGGGCGCCGCGGGACCCGCGGGGAGGGCTTCGTGACTTGAAAAGGCGCGGGGGGAGCGGCGGAGGGAGGCGGGCGCGGGCGAGGCAGCGGTCAGAGAAATGAGAACGCCCATGGTAATGGAACCAGCGAAGGCGGAGCACCGCCGACAACAGATGGCGGCGGTGCACCGCCAGGCAAACCTCCCAAGAAACACGAAGAACCGCCTGAGCAGCGCAAGGACAAGCAAGGCCCGATAAGATTGCGATCCGATTTCGATCCGAGTTTTTTGTTTTCTGAACGCAGGCTGCGCGCCCCACGCGCCGCCCGCGGCAAAGCCGACTGAGAGTCATGCATCGCGCCACCGAAGCAGGTCGCCTCAGAACTCGCTCTTGCGAGCCTCCAGCTCGCTCTGCACCAGCGCCTTGGCCCAGGCGATGGCGGCCTCCTGAGTGGCAGATGAAAGCCGCCATAAATGCAAAGTGACCCGCGGGGTCTCTTTGCGCATATGATTGGAGCGAGGCCACGCGCGGCCGCAACAACGCGCCCCGCTGCCACGCATCGAGCCCCGTGGCCACGCCGATTGGAGGAGATGGGACCCAAAAGTGTCCTTCTCCTTGCCGTTCCTGTACTTCTTGCTCTTGGTGCCGCCTGGCCCGCTGCGCCCGCTCCTGAAGAGAATATGGCTGCGAGTGCTCTCGTCGTCATACCGCGGTGCTTTCAGCTTGCATGCTGCCGCCTTCGCCTTCGCAGTCTTCTTCGGTGTTGCCTCGGCTTTGGCCTTTGCCTTCGCCGCCGATGGCTTCGCCGTGCCATCTGAAGCCTTTGTCTTCGCCAAGGCCGCTACTGCGTCGGACTTCCTCCGCTTCTTCTCGCCCTTCTCCGCTTTCCAGCCAGAGGAAGTACGTTGCCCCGCCGCTTGGAGGAGAACCAGGGCAGCGTCGGCAGGCAGTTTCGCCAGCGGCAGTTTCGGATCCACCTTGACAGTGGCAAGTGGCAATAACCAATCGCCGCGCCTGCGACGCCCCGCAGAGGGCGCGCCGCTGCCTTGGGCAGAGGCGCGCCCCCGTGAATCGCGGGGGCCGCGGAGGCGGGCCCAGGCTACCGTCCAAAAACTTTTGCCTTCTTCTGCGGCGCCTCCTTCGCGTCCACCTCGGACTCGCTCGAGCTCAGCACCATGGCGTCAACGGCTGACGCCTTGACCTTGGCGCCATCGCCCAACCTTGAGGCCGCGGCCGCAGGCGCCGCTCCCGACATCGCGGCAGGCTCGCCCGCGATGTTCGCGGCAGGCTCGCCCGCGGGAGCTGCTGGAGTGGGAGTCGTCGGCCCGCGCTGCGAGAGGGCGGCCGCCGCTGGGTTCGGCCACCCGCCGCGGGTGTTGTGCGTTGGGATCACCCCCAACGGCAACGCCGCTGGCGTCGCGGCTCCCAAGGGAGGCGTCGCGGCAATCGTCGCGGCTGCAACCGCAACGCTTTGCATCGGAGAAGGCGGCGGCAGAGGCGCGAAGGCGATCGGCGGCAACGCCGCCCGCTGCGGCGTTGCCTGGGCGCCGAGCGCCGCGTTCCTGTTGCCGCGCAAGCTGATGAGCTCCCCGAGGACCTGCGTCTCGAGAAGCCCATTTGTCGGCTGCACGGGCCCCTCCGAGGCGAACGCCTGCTCGTGCAGCGTCGGCCTCTCCTGCTGGAACAGCGCCGCCGAGGGGGGGAGCGCGCCGACAGACTCGGTCGCCTTGCCTCGAGCAGCTGTGTAGGCAGGGGAACGCCGCGTGGTCTTCGCCAACTGCAAGTGCACGTCCAAGAGCTGCGGAGTCGGCGAGTTCTTCTCGTTGCCTGATCGCTGGCACGCCAGGAACATGAACGCGGCTAGCATGCCAAACGTCGGCCCGGAAGGGTTCCGGAGCCCGAGGCGCTCCAAGTGGCGCATCAACATGACAAACTTCGAAGCGAACGACTCGGTTGGGCTCAGCAGTACGTGCCACGTGGAGGCAGTCAGCAACTCCACGAAGCACTCGTAACTTTGCCCTTTGGCCTTCGCGCACCTCCCGCAGAGCCACTCGGTCGCGGCGCCGACCAAATCGTGACTGAACCCCGTCTGCCCGAGCTGGGTCAGCAGCTGCCCTTTCTCCTTGGCCGTCCACCTGCAAAACGACGGGGGGATTTTAGACGGCGGGGAGGAGGGGGGAGCGGGCGGCGCTCCGTCGAACGGAGGCGGGGACCTCCTCGAAGGGGGAACGGATGGCCTCTCGCCCGTGCGGGATCTTTGACCCGAGCCTCACCTTTGGCCTTCGATGAGCGCGCGCACCTTCCCGAAGTGCAGCTGCTCTGCAGCGCCCCTGGAAGGCCCGCTCGCCGCTGCAAGCGCCGCGGCTGCCTCGCCCAGGGCAGCCTGGGCGCGTTCCATCGCGCCGCGGCGCGACGGGGGGCGCCCGCCCCGCGGCCCCTCCAGAAGCGCTCGGTGGGGCAGGGGCAGCGTATTGTGGCGAAGGGAAATGGCATGGCCCTTCACGTCTCCTTTTTGCTCTCCTCTCCTCCCCCCTCTTCCCTCCTCCCCCCTCCTGGGCGGTGCGCCGCCAATGCGACCAAACAAACGGTGTATGATGAAACGTGCGCCGAAGGCGGTGCACCGCCAACGAATGCAGAAGCACCTCGCGCAATCAAGGTGACGTGGGCGGTGGGCCGCCAAATGCGATGACAAATTCGGGCGAAGCATGCGCCGCGGGCGGTGCACCGCCAACGCGAAAGAAACGCATCGCGCAATCACGGGAACGTGGGCGGTGCACCGCCAAATTCGATGACGAATTCTAATGAGACGTGCTGCGTGGACGGTGCTCCGCCGATGCGTGAAGAAACGCCTCGCGCAATCAAGGGAGCGCGGGCGGTGCACCGCCAACGCGACGAAGCTTCAATCAACATGTGCAAAACGTACCAATTGAAATACGCGGGCAAAACATAGCGATGGGCGGTGCGCCGCCAATGCGATAAAACTGCTCAGAATTTGCAAGACGTGGGCGGTGGGCCGCCGAAACGAATCACATCAGAACGCGCCGCGATGAGAAGTGCGGGCGGTGTGCCGCCAATGCGCATGGCTTCCCCTCCCGATTCCCCCCCCCGCCATTCCCGCCCCCTCTTTCCTACCCCCCAGGCTGCGCGGGTTGAGCTCGGTGATGAACGGCCTTCTCGGTCGCCTGGCGCCTGGCGAAACATTCCCTGAGGTTCCGTAGCGGTTATTTTAACTGCCAGACCGCTGGCGGTTAAAAATAACCGCCAGCGGTTTTTCCCTAGTTCAACATAAACTAATCATGCATACATATAAGAAAAACCTGACGTTTTTTTGTTCTAGCACATGCGTATCGCTTCTCGTGGGAGCCACGTTGGCCCCATGTAAGCTTAGAAGCAAAACATATGCGTGTATTGTGTGTGCGTGTGCGTGCGTCGACGCGTTACAAATCCGAATCCTGTTATTATTTTATAATTGTGCCTCGTTCTAGGTAATGCGTCGATAATAATATTGCGTCCTCTGAGCTGACAAGCCATCGGCCTGATCCATCGATTGGCTAGCGGAGTGTAGGGATATCTTCGGCCGCTCTCATCCATACCAGTGTTCCCCCTCCCGTTGGGCAAACATGGGGTCGCAAGCAAAGGAGGGCGATCAGAACGAGGAGGAGAATAGATCAAGTAAGGGAGGGAAGGAGGCGTATGATGGCACCGATGATGCCGATGACGGCTAAGCAATACCGATGATCCTGATGATTATGAAGATGACGATAATGATGCGATGGATGATCCAGAGCCATATGTCGATCGAGTGGGGCCAGGTGCCGAGCAGCCCTCTTCGGCGGACGCTCATCGGCCGAGCTTTCTCGAAAGCGTCCCAGAGCCTCGGGATGAGCGCCGAGACGCTGAGCGACGACTCGCAGCCGCCGACGCAGCTTGATCAGACTGTGGCCGCTGTCGGCGACGGTGCGGCCGTGGAGAAGGACGGTGACGTGCTGATGGGCTGCCAAGATGACAGCAAGTTCGGGCATGAGCTGTTGGACACAATGCTGCCCGATCGCCAACCCCAGTTTGGGGAGGCAGGGTACAGCGGGCCTCTCGGCGCCAAGGACGGCGACGTGGGCATCGGCGGCTCCGACCCGTGCCAGGCCAGGCCCGAGCGGGACGCCGACGGCGTCGAGGAGAACGTCGATGGCGCCGAGGACAGCGACGACGTGCCGCTGATGATGCCTTCCAACAAGGGCGTCGCTGCCCGCGTGACCGAGCCCGAGACGCATCGTGGAGATGAGGACGGCGCAGGTGGCGCGGCAAGCCAGGGCCCTGAAGAAGAAACGCTGCCCTACAACGTGCCGCAGACACCGATCTCGCAGAAGCAGCAGGCCTTGCTGGACCTGGCTGACATCTGCAAGAACATCAACGCGATGGCAACGACGCAGGACGATACCAAGGTAGGAGACAAGCTCAAGGAGCTGTTCACCTCAAAGGCGCTGAAGACCGTGTTCGGCGAGAGGGAGGAGTCGGAGAAGAGCGCCTTCGAGGTGGACGGCATGTCCGACAAGGACAAGGCCAAGGCCGCCATGTGGAAGAAGGTGAAGGCCCTACGGATGTGTCAGAAGCGGGGGGGCAACCCACCGTAGTTCACACGTTTGGGGGGCAATCGTGATCTCGAGTACGCAGTCGTCGGGGACTGCAACAGGTCCCGTCCTCCGCCGTTTGATGTTCGGACCATTGGTTGTCAATTCACGGCCACTCGCGTTGCATTGACCTCGCATTGACCTCGCATTGACCTCGCATTGACCTATAGCTTACCTTGTGAGGTATCGCCGACGCCCACCCACCCCTGCAACCCACCCACTCGCACATACCAAATATAAAACAACGGTCTGAGACATACAAGTCCATCGAAAGTTGTTATATACGTGTGAACATATCAACGGACATATACATGCACTTCCACAGAGAGAGAGAGAGAGAAAGCGAGAGAGAGAGAGAGAGAGAGAGCGAGAGCGAGAGAGAGAGAGAGAAAGAGGGAAAGAGAGAGAGAGAGAGAGAAAGAGAGAGAGAGAGAGAGAGAGAGTGGGGGGAGGGAGGGGGGACAGCTCCGCCAGGCCAAGGGCTTCGATTTCAGCGCGAAAGGCGTCGCGGGCAACGAGATCGCGGGCGTCTGGCAACGAGCCTTGACAGCTAACAAGGACGGGGTGGCCACCAAGTACAAGTTGGTGGGATCCAATCGGGACGCCCAGCAGAAGTTCAGGAAGGAGTGGGCGGAGTCCGAGTTCCAGGCCTTCACCAAGAAGCACAGCCACACGCAGAGCATCTCGCACGAGTGGGCGAAGGAGAGCAAGATGATGACACTAGGGCGGATGGCGTGGAAATACGGCGGCGGCGCTGAGGGCTGGAGGTCAGCCACCACGCGCGCGAGCAAGTGCATCCGGCTCGGCAGCCCGTTCGCGCAGTGGGAGCCTTCCAGCGAGACCCTGATGTACGCGTTCGTGGAGCGCAGCATGACGGAGAAGTTCAGCGAGGCGTGGACGCGGCACGAGGAGCGGACGAGTACCATCGGCAAGAACGACGACGAGCTGGGGGGCATGACGGTGAAGAGGGCCACCGTGCCGGCAGGGGGTGCGCGAATATGGGGTGTCAGTTATAGCTACCATCCTCCTCCCTTTTCCTCCTCCTTCTCGTCATCCTCCTCCTCCTGCCCTCGCAGCTCGAACCTGTTTCATCAGCTTACCCTCAAGCTCCACTTACCGCAATCCTGTCCCATGCTCCTCCTCTACGTTTACGTCACCCCTCATCGGTGAAGATAAATTGAACCCCTCATTTACGTCACCCCTCATTTTCGGTTCACGCCACCCCTCGTTCACTTCGCCTCCCAGAGGGGGGATACCACACGCATTCGGTGAAAAGGATGACTGATGGGGGGTGGGGACACGAGGAAGGTGACGATGGGGAGGAAGAGAATGATGATGAGAGGGAGGAGGAAGAGGAGGATTGGGACGACGGAGCGGGAGGGGGAATAGGGATAGGACGGGGAGGTGGAGGAAAAGGATTATGAGGTGGAGGAGCACACGGATAGGAGGATGATTCTCAGAGGGGGGGCAAAAAACGACGAGGGAGGGAGCTTTCGAGCCCGAAGGCGGAGAAGGCCGAGTCGGCGATGGCGCAGGGCAAGATCGGCAGGGAGCTCATCGGGGGCGAGGTCGCGGTGAAGCTGGCCAACAAGGCCAGCGGCGACAAGGGGGAATAATGAGAGTAGGAGGAGGAGGAGGAGAAGGAGGAGGAGAATGAGGAGGAGAATGAGGAGGAAAAGGAAGATGAGGGGGAGCCAGATGAGGAGGAGGGAGGGGGAGGAGGGGGAGAAATGAAAGAGAGGTGGAGGAGAGGCCTAGTGCCAGGAGGATGGCGGTGGTAATAGGGGGGTGGTAAGGAAGAGGAGGGGCGAGGCGAGAGGGGAGGAGGGTGAGAGGGGTGGAGGATGAGCCGGAAGAGGAGGAGGAGGAGGAGGGAGAGGCGTAACAAGAGAAAGGGGGAGTTGATCAGGATGAGGACGAGGAGGAGAATGATGAGGAGGAGGCGTAATGGCTAGGAAAACGAGGGGGAGGGATGAGCGAGAGCGCGCCTCCGACAGGCAGCCGCGGCCGAGGCGGCGACGACGACCGTGGCCGAGGTGGTGCCGTCCCCGACGGCGGGGCGGGGGGGCAAGGGGACACGTCCGCATCGTCCTTCCCGTCCGTAAACTCTCATCACTCATCCTTGCATTGACCTTGCATTGACCTTGCATTGACCTTGCATTGACCCTGCATTGACCCTGCATGGACTTTGCATTGACCTTGCATTGACCTTGCATTGACCTTGCATTGACCTTGCATTGACCTGGCATTGACCTGGCATTGACCTGGCATTGACCTGGCATTGACCTTGCGTTGACCTTGCATTGACCTTGCATTGACCTTGCATTGCGGTCGCACTCGTCATGCATATTATCTACACCATCGCTGGGCAATCGCGGCGTCATGGATATCACCCTCATCCTCGCAATTGCCAACAACACCGCCAGCTCATCACCACGTCACCGTCATCATCGTGATCGTCATCATCGCCATCGTTCTCACATTCGCCTCATGGCGCGTACCATCATGCCATCGTCATGATCCATGATGCCATTCGCCATCACCGTGTGACCACAGCTGTTTGCACAGCATGCGCGGGCGCGGGTTTCGGCGGGCATAGCTGCGCCCGCATGGCCGAGAAGTCGCCGAAGAAGAGGCCCGCCGCTGCAGGCGGCAGGCCAGCTGGATCCGCGACGAGCGACCTGCCGCCAGAGGTGGAGAAGCTCGTCTACCAGGCGCTGGCGAACCACCTGGAGACGCCCGAGGCGTGCGACTACGGCCCCGCGCAAGATGATGCGATCCTTGTCAAGCACCAGTCCTTCCTGAAGTGCATCAGGGCTGCCACCAAGAACGTCAACCCCGCGAGGTCCATCTTCGTGAGGCTGCTGGAGACACTCGCGGACGAGCGGGAGGGGGAGTGGAAGCTTTGCGACCAGCAGACGTCGTGGGCGGAGAGCAAAGCCAAATCTATTGGGACAATGCTGTCGCATCTGGCGAACGCCCTGCGCAAGAAGGAACCGCCGAAGTGGGCCAAGCCGTTCCTCCCGCCAGCGACCCTGAGGTGTGCAGGAGATTCCGCAGCTGGCGAGCCGGATCAGGAGCAGGACAATGACGCGGCGCAGGCCGCGGCCGAGGATGAGGAAGACGAGGAAGAGGAGGAGGAACAGCAGGCCGAGGAGGAGGAGGAAGAGGAGGAGGAGGAGCCCGAGGAGGACAGTAAGCCTCGCGGTCGAAAACGGCCAGCCGCAGTGGACGACGCAGCCACGGTTGGCGCTGGCGAGGCGTCTGTGCCGCAGACGATCATGAAACAGGAGTGGAAGCTGAGCGAGGAGCAGGGCGGCTGGATTGTCGGCTACAACAAGGAGATAAAGGCTCCAATGACCACCAAACTGTCTATCCACCGATCGAACGACCTGCTGAGCCCATCGATCGATCTGCTGAACCTCGGGACTTCTGATCATCTGACCTACTGTTCTGTGTACAATTTAATGTATGGTCTCGCGATCTCCTAATCTATGTACGGTCTACCGATATATGCTCTCGGGATCTACGCTTCGTCCGATCTACTGCCTCCCAGGCGGCGTGGAGGATGAAGCCAGGCGAGGTGGTGCCAGAGTACGGCGTGACCACTGCGAAAGACGGCTCGCACTTCGTCGCAGAGTGGCCCGACGGCTTGCTGATCGAGATTCCTGGTGTAGTTGGCGCTGTGGGGCCCCCCACGGGGAAGTTGAAGTATGCACCAGTCTGGACAGGCGTGCTGGATGGCGCCAAGTTGGAGGTCAAGTGGACCAAGAAGCACGAGTTGGAGTGGCTCACCCTCTGGAGTACGAAGGACAAGAAGCTGAGCCAGATTTGCGCCCTTTCAAACTACAGCAGCAAAGACGAGGGCGCCAAGTTCATGATCAAGCTAGCCGAGATGTACAAGAACGGCGCAGATCGAGCTGCCCTGGAGGCCGAGAAGAGCAAGTACGGGTACGGCAGGAAGAAGGCCTTCAAGAAACCAGCGGCAGATGTGCTCAAACGGCCCGCGGCAACGGATCTAGCTGGCGAGTCGCAGGACGGGGTCGACAGGAAGCAGGCCCGCGTAGATCCAGTCGCGACGGGATCGAATGCGTCGACCTCGGCCGCGGGCCCCTCCAGTTCAAAGCAGCCCGTGTTGACGAACGTCATCGAGGGCTCCACCCTCGCGGCGCCGACGGCCGTGAAGACCAACCCCGCTCGCCCGAAGGCCATGGCGGCGGAGATCGTGCGCTCTGAGATTCTTGCAGCGCCGCCAATTCCATATATCCCAGATATGGATGACTAATTGCAGATGCCACGTTGCCTGTGCGGCGGTGCGGACGTACAACGCGTGGCTGAGCGCCCCTGCGCGATGGCCACATCATCATTTGATCATCATATCATCATTATGATGTCGGTTCCTCCTGATGCTCCCCTCATCCACCTCCTTATCCTTATGCTCCCCCCTCCTTCTACTCCTGATCATCATACTAGCAGTTCTTACACTCCTGAAGGTCATGTATAATATCATTCTCCTTCCGCCAACCTCCGTGGGCTTCAATGGTGCAAGAGAGGGCCGCCTGGGGCGTTGACATCACATTGACGTTGCATTGACTCTGCATTGACTTGGCATCGGCACGTTCTCATTGCATTGACTTTGCATTGCCATCACACTGAGCTCGCATTGACCGTGAACTGTCTACGTTACATTGACCTTGCATTGACCTCGCACTCACGCTAAATTGACGTTGCATTGACCTTGCATTGACCATGCATTGACCTTGTATTGACCTTGCAATGACCTTGTAGTGGCGGCGCATCACATTGACTTAGCGCTGACGCATCCAGATATGCACGCAGCTTCGGTATCAGCAGAGGGGAAGCACGAGGAGGGATGAGGGGTGATGCAGAGTAGGAGGGAGGGGGAAATGGAGGGCCAGCGTCAGGGAGGGACGGCTGGAGGGAGAGCAGTAGGAACGACA